TAAACATCAGTAGATAAGTTTTTTATGCCTTTCTTATGAAGTTTTGGAAACTCCTCTCCATCTGGCAGGGGTGTTATAAAATTATAATTTGGTGTTATGTCATTTACATACTTAAGATTTTTGTAAACAGATCCTGTAAATCCGTCCTTGCTACTTGTCGGACCATCAAGGGATATAATTAAATGTCGTAGCTTGAGTTCATTTGTATGTTTCATGCAAATTGCCCAATAGCATTTATGTCCTAACATTTTTTCGAGATGGGCATGAATTCCCCCTGGCCATCCTGTGTTGATATTAGTTGAATCTCCACGTATTACTATGCATGACTCAGTATTTTTAGTAAGCGTTGTTTTTTTCAAGCACCTCATAGAGTGCTTTAGTTGTATTTTTTGCAGGTTTTTCCGGATGAAGGGCACGTTCTGGCGTGATGTGAGCAAGACAACGTCCAGTTGGCTCACAAGTTACACTTATATGCTCCTTTTTTATGACTCTAGGGTGAGGTTTTCCGTGTTTATCTGGAATTAACGTTTTAATCCAGTCTTTTCTTCCATCATAAGCAATTTTAATTATATTTTTGTTGCTACATTTATTCGCTTCAATAATTGTGTTTTCTTTCATTACATTATTCTTAGCTCTTCGCATTTTATTAGGGTCAACAGAAAGGTATGACATATCAGGAGAAAGAAAACCTGCAGCTTAAAAATCTTTTGTTATACCAGTGATTATTGCTGCCGCTCCAACATTAGAAATATTATATCTTATTGCAGCTGATGCCGCATTAGACTTGGTTTTTTTAAGTATCTTGTAACCAGTGGTGCCAATCTTTCTAGTTTTTTTTTAAGCAAAATGTCGACCAAAGTTTTTATTTCGTTTTTAGTTGTGCAATATTTACATTGTATGTATCATCAGTATCATCAATACCATTGTTGTTTTCTTCCAGCAGATTGAAAACTAGTTCAGGATTCTAAATTGTTTAAACATGCAGTTTCTATAATATAATATTATTACTTACCAATATTGGTAAGTAATATTATATATAATAGAATATATAAATTTTAAATTTAGAAAAGTTTAATATATATTAAACATTAAAAATTTAGTTTTAAAGTCTTTCTTAGATTGCGGTAAGAAATGTTTTAAAACAATTAAAGAATTATATTTATGGTAATTTAGCTAACCTCAAATTTAACAAACTCATATTTTATTTCATTTTCTTTTTTTTTCCCTTTTTCTTTCAGCTTCTTCCTGAATGTTTTTCCTTTTTTTACTACTATGCAAATTGGCTTATGAATGTTTTTCCTTTTTTTTTACTACTATGCAAATTGGCTTATGTGATTATAAAGAAATGAATCGATTCTTTATAATCACATAAGCCAATAATATATATGTGCACCTAATTTGCAGTTTTCGGGATCATTGCAAAATGATGCTGCCTCTGTGCATATAACGATTGTATGAGTACATGATATGATATCAAAGAGACAATTAAGGTCATTAGTTATTTTGCTTCTTTAGATGGTTTTGCGTTTTTTAAAAACTTGGATATTTTAAACCTTAGTCAGCCTATTTTTTCCGCGTGTGATTTTTCCGAAATTGTAACTGGTGGTTTAAACAGGCTATTTGCTTTGAATCATTGAGCTGTTACCAGTTTAGCAAACTCTCTTTTTTGTTCTTTTGTAGCAAAATTATGTTTTCTACATTCAAATTCTTTTTTTTTTTTCCTAAAAGGTATATAGAGATTTAGTTATTTATCACAAATAATTTATATAAAGTCAATATATATTTTTGATATAATAACTTTTAAAAAGGTTTTAGAAGTTAAAAATTAAAATAAAAGCTAACCTTTAGAAGAATTTCTGATCTTTTTGTGGGTACCTCCGACAAAACAAACTCTTTACCTTTTCAAACAAAATATAATATATATACATATATTTAAGACAATGATGTATCTATGCTTCAACACATTCTCAAGAAACAAGTAATTAATTACAATAAACTATAAAATTCACAACTAAAAGTCTCAATTGCCCTACCAAAACATTTTCAAATTAAAAAACACAAAAAAGAAACTTAATTTAAAATTTAATTTTACAAAGAAATATCAGTACGCCGTATTATTTTAATCAAAATGATTTTAGCGATGTACCCTACTGTAGAGGGTTTTATAACTGAAACCGTATTTAATTTTTCATCAGACATATATTAATGCTTTATATTAATATTTATACAAATCAAGATGGTGGATCAAGCTATCCGTGGCCTTATTTAACGGTCATCTTTTGTTTTGTAAATACATATCGACTTAATAAGAGGATTGAAATTTTATTTTTGTCATAAACTTTATTAAAAAACATGGGTTAAAACGTTATTTATTTTCATCTGTGTTTGATATTATGAGTTTACGTAATTATTAAATCTGTACAATTAACGCAATAAAGAGACTTTTTTTGTTTTTGAAGTAGGCAGAGCTCATATTTTTTTCTGAAATAAATATACTCAG